GCAGTGCTTGCACAGAGCCAAGCCCTTTTCTGCTCCTCACCCCACCCCATGAGCGAGTAGTCTGGGGGTACACAAGGAGCTGGGAGGGGACATGGCGAGGACAGCTGACCCCAACTGACCAAAGGGATGTCCCAGACCATAGGGTGATGGCACCAGCATATAAAGCTGGGGGAATAAGAAAGAGGGGAAAATTCAGTTATGCCATTTGTCTTCCCAAGTAACTGTTAAGCATGATGTAGCCCTGCTTTCCTGGAGATGGCTGAACCTCTGCCTGCCGATGGGAAGTGGTGAATGAATTCTTTGGGCTGCTTTAATTGCATGCACACCTTTTGCTTTACCTATTAAACTGTCTGTATCTCAACCAATGAGTTTTCTCACTTTTATCTTCTAAATCTTGCCCCCATGCCACCAGGAGGATAATGATCAGGAGGCTGGTGCTCAGTTGCTGGCGGGAGGTTAAATCATGACAACTGCAAAGTCAAACTGGCTTATTGCAAACTGATACATGTACACTACAGCTGAAAAATACAAGGATTTGAGGAAAAACAGGAGGAGCTTCTCTCTGAATGACAAAATTCACACTGCAAATTTCTCTGTCTTGAACTGTGAATGTATACCCAGTTTTGGTAGATTTTCCATGTAACTGGGAAAGCTTCTGGGACTAATCTCCACAATATGACCGGACAAGACTCTCTGATATGGCCTTTCCTGTAGTCAGCGCTCAGAAAAGTAGAATGTGGCACAACATCTTCCTTAAGGGATTTTGGGATTTTTTTCCTCTAACATCATATCATCCTGGCATACTTTTCCTGGAACTATGGTATCTCTTTCAGTCTGACAATGTCTAGAGAACATCAAACACAAATACTTCTTCATGCATCAGACAAAAATACCCCTTGATCCCACAGGACCTTATTAACTGAAAAAAGGTTCAGGTACCAAAGCAGAAATCAAAGATTAAGCCAAAACAACCTTCAATATGTCTGCATTGACATATCTTTTAAGACATTTTTGTACTGTCCTAGTTATGTTTTATATTCTTTTGAGGCTCTTCTAAATATAACTTTTTGCACTGCTTGATGCCAGCCTCTTGAAGCTGATATATTAAGGCTTTCATTGATTTCACTAAGCTTCAGAATCAATATACAAGATATACCTTTGTACATTCTCTTCAAACATACCATTTTAAGTCCAAAGGAAAAAAAACAAGAGTCTGAAATAGTTAAAACAACTTGAAAAGTTATCTGAGAATAGCGCAGTAGTATGACAAAATGATAAAAGGTTAACTTAAACAGTAATTCTTTATTTAATTTTTGGCTCTATATTTTGTGTTTACAAAAAAAGCTTTCTTACAAATTGGAATGAAACTGTTTCTGGTTGGCATCTTGCTTTAATTCTGTTCCACCAAAGGCTATACACCGAAACACAAGCAAAGCAGCCTAATATCTATCACTTACACGTCTGAATTTGGCCTTTACAATAGTGCATTCATAAAGTACCATGCTACCTCTTTTTGTGAACGTTAAGATAGATTAGTTATTAACTTCCTTTAAAGGCCAACTTAGACTGCAACAGACCTTGTCTTCTTGCTTTAGTTCGTGATTACACCTTGGAGTCTTGTAAAAGGCAGAAACTATCACTAGTGCTTGAAAGCAAAGACTAATATCATGTAATGCATCACTGCCACTATTCAAAACACCAGGATAATTTTTTGGAAGCACAACTTATATGATCAGTTTTGTTTGTGATATTTTACTGTGAAAGTTTGGCCATTTTTCTGCTGGAAGAAGAAACATGACTTGGGAACAAAAGAAACACAATCTGCAGTGACACTAAAAGTAGGCTGTTAGCAGTGACTAAATGTTGAAAACTAGGTTGCTTATGCAGATGGGGCTGACAAATATCATACTCATTTTGTGAAAGTTCTACATGTATTATCCACAACTGTCTCTTAGCAATAATTCTTACTGAATGGGTACCCAGCCAAGTAGCTACATTCTGCACATGGCAAACTTTCAATTTTATCTCCTGCTTCTTTCCAAGGTAGTTTCTTATTGCCCATGTATTTTATTGTTTTTAAACTCGGGAAAGGTGTAATCTTTTAGGCTAGGCTTCAATGCTGTTCCCCTTGGGCCACCAATTACCACCACACTGACTCAGTTTTTCCAGAGGCAGTACCTCAATATGAATTTACTGTATAGGAAGCCAAAGATCTGTCATGAATCACATGCAGAAATTAACTTCAGCTATTACAGAAAAACTTGCAAAGCCAAAAGTAACAAGTGGCTGATTCCTGGAAAGGTTTGTAAACTAGTATGAAACAGTTCATTTTCCTACAGAGTAGCATGTTTACTAAGGCTTCCTTCAGACTATGGAAAGGTTTTGGGGGTTCGCTATTTGGAAAATGAAGAGAGACATTAATAATCAGCTACTTTATACACATTCCTCTCCAGAATCAGCATCAGCTGTAGGCTTTCCAGCCACTTTACTGCATTCTCTAAGTCTCTCAGCTACGAGATCTTCATTTTAACTCTAAAGCCCATTTTCAAATATCTTCAAAGCAGTTAAAATTGCGCACATGAATAAGTATTATGATATTTTTAGCAAATTTTTCTCCATGTTTGCACTATTCCCATGTTCCTCAAACCTGTGAGTCATCTTAGAGGAAGGCACTGGACATAACAAATGCCCGTAGCTGAACAGGCACAGTCAATCTGATGTTTCCCAGAGTTGCTGGATTTATTGTGTATGCTGAGACTGATTGGACTGCCCTGTAGGTAAGTTGTTTCCTGGAAAAATCATGGATAATGCTCTCCAGTGCACTTGTGCATGCACCCACTCACCCACTAGCTGCTGCCAGTAGCCCAGGAATGGAATACAACTGTTCTGCTGGTGGAAGGCAAAGCTAAGTCACCTCCTATCACACAGGGCAGACCAGGGCTAACCTCTGCGCATCTATCCAGTGAACCCAATACACCAACATGGAGCATCAGGGCCGGCTGGCACCCAGAAAGTGGGCACAGGATAGTCAAATTGGCTTGTCAAACAGCAGATGGTGACCTGAGTGCCTGCCTTCTGCATGCTACACTTGTACAGCGAAAAGGAAGATAGGAAGGCAATACCTAGGTTGAAGGTGAATTTTAGATAGGAAGATACCCAGATGGGAAAGGAATTTAAAATACAATTTTCTTCAAGAAGCCTAACACAATTATGAAGAATTAAAATACCTAATTTCATTTATTGCTGATTTTGTTCACTATTCACAAATTAGGTTTAGGTTGTATTTTAAGAGTTGATTGCTATGATTAAGTCCTGCAAAAAAAAATAATCAGAACACTGCAATTGGCTATGTATTATTTTACATATCAAGACAAATCTAATATTTTTTGTAGCTCTGCAGGATACAAAATTACATGCCTAGTTCAATTTTTATTCCTACAGTTCAATGCCTTTTAACAAATTATTTTCTTAAGCATTTCTTAAGGCTTTATAGTTTAGGACTGCAATCTGCTTGCTATCCACAGGGAGTATTAACAGAGATTATCAGTACTTAAACTGATGAAGAAGATATGTCATGTCTCTTTTACATTTGTAAAAAGGCACATCTTCAACAGATGGGCTGCGAAGGACATAATAATTTGACAGAGATCATTTCTGTGTTGTGTTGTTTTATTTTTTGCAAGGTATACTAGTTCTGCCTTTAAAAGTCCATGAATCCACAATAAACTAAGCGGAATGGAAGCTTTTACAGCCTTGGAATGCTGGAAAGCAGCAAATCCTCAGTCACCCACAGATCTTGTCTAGCAGAAACTTTTCTATGCCTTTTTAATACCATAATATGTTTGTTGTTTTTTCAAGTGGACAAACAAATGTTGAATTGCACATAAATGCAAACACAGCACCATGTGACCGCGTTTTTCAGTGCACCATATTAGGCAGAAGGGAAAAAAAAACAGGAACATCTGCTTGAGAAAGGACCTTAGGATTTCTATGGAAAGTCCTACTAGGATTACAAGCAGTCTTGTCTGGAATTTTAGTATTCTATCAAGGATATCAAAAAGCTTGTAGCAGGAGGGAACATTAATGCTTTCTCTCTCTCTTTTGTATCCCTGTATGGGTTCTCTTTAGCTGTGAGGGGTTTTTTCCTTATTGATTTTCTTCTGTTTGCTCAAGACCTCTTGACTAATTCCTTCAAACCCACAGCTGATGGTAAATAGAAATGTCATGACTGCAGGATGTACCGCAGCAGGAAAGAAGTCTTGCTTCTTTCCCAGTTGTTGGCAGGACGGATCCAGCTCTAGGTTCAGTACTATTCTATTCTTGCTGCCACAGCTCAAATGTTCCTAACAACTTCTTGCTTTGCCCATTAGGCCTGGAAGTTCTTTCATGCAGGACGCCTGTTCTATTTTGATTCATTCAGCAGCACTAACCCTAAATGATGCCCTGGCTTGCAGGATGAAAAGCTGTTTCATGCCCTTTAAAAAGAAACAAATGACAGAAGTATCTCTATATATTAAAAAAAAATTGATCTCGGGGTTTTCTCCAATGACTTTTTACTGATCAATTGAGCTCTTCTGTGCTCTCCTACAAAGGTTTGATTTCACAGTCCCACAGCAATAAGGAATTATTCAAATAGGCAATGCTGGTCCAAATCTCTGGCAAGCAGGCATTTGTCAACCATATTAGAAGTAGCTTAATTACATTTTGTGAGGGAGAGCATTGTGTTCTGCACTACCGTCTCTGAGCATATGCACACCACCAAGGACCTCTAAGTAGACTGAAACTGTGTGCTGAGAAAGAAAATGTTGAGCCATCACAGCTCCATAATTACAAACTGCAGCCTTTGAAACCTGGTCTTCTGCAGAAAGTCTGAAATGCATCTGAAGCAGTACTATTGCATTTTGTTAACCTTGTTTCGCCTCCTATTTTGATGAGTCACCTAGGTCAATTAGGTCTATGACATTTGCAGTGAAAGGAAACAAAAGCTTGAGTTGATTTACCAAAGACAGTCAGCTCTGCTGGATCGCTGTCTCGCTCCCCCACGATGTTTGTGCCAACACAAGTGTACATGCCAGCATCACTTTTCCTTGTATTGGAGATCATCAGCTTTCCACCCCGTATCTGTTTCAAAACAAGGAATGTATTTTTAATTTCAGGTAAACAAACAATACCATCAAAATGTTGCCTTCTCAGGCAGCAAGTTCTAAAGGCTAAGACTAAGGCATTTAAATTTTTTGTTTGTAAATATATGTGTAGCTTTAAAATTATAACCCTATATACTTAAATGTCTTTATGCTGTTATAAAAGACATTTTATCCTACTGACTGGTTTTAAATGCATTTCAGTTTTTTCTTCAGTTTTCAGTAATGCTTTGCATTTCAAGGATTACATTTCTTCCTCTATGGCAATGCAAAGTGCTTATAATTTGTGCATGATGATATGCAAAGCACTCTTGACATCTCCCTCAAGAAAAAGGCAATCTTACTTAGTTTTATTTAGTTCTTTTTTTTTTCCACTGACATCTGAGCAGTTTCTTTGTTCACTGATTAACGCAGATTTTCTCTTTTCCTTGATGCAAACAGACTGAACCTAGCCCAACCTGAGAATTCACCTGCCTCCCAGAATAAACATTTTCCTGGCCTACAAAGGGTGCTTACAGAGTGAAAGAGCAGAGTACCTGAAAGCAATAAAGTAATACATTTGCAGCTTGTGAAGTCACAGACAGTGTCAAAAGTTAGTGGGGTGCTTCACAATAAGCTAAGAATACAGCCAAAGAAACCAGAGTCCAGTAATAATAACCAGTTCCCTGCCACTCTTCCTTTCTCTACTCTTGAGCAGGCCCTAGCAGAGACAGCCTGGCCCACAGCAACAACTTAGACCATTTAGCTTGAAATACTTCCTCAGGCACCCAAAGCAATAAACAATCTTTCTGATAGTACTTCCACATCGAATAAGGTCAGCATCGAATGAGTTACATATCATTACATACAATATAAAACTTTTTAAAATGAGTATTAATAGTATTAGCATTTCAAAATTAGGAATTAAATACATCCCCACACCCTTAATTTAGCCAATTTGCTTGCATAAACCATGACAATTTCTAATCACTTGATAAGTTAGATATTTCTGCTGGATCCTTTTTCATTCAGTACATAGAATGAGCTGTCACAGAATTCAACCAGTGTTACTTATTTACTCAATATTAATTCTTAATCAGGAGCAATCATTCTTTAGATTATAACTTTAGTCTTTATTTAGAATACACATCCCAGTTACTATACTAAATACATTATCTATTTGATCCTATGCTGTTGGTTTTCCCCATAGAGTATTTGTGTACCTCATACATATGACTGATTATATCTTTAAAACGCCTCTCTGATATAAGGTCTGGTACTCTCACTGAACTGAGATCTCATTTCAATGAACTGAGGTCTAGAAAAGGTAAGGCCAAATATATCAAAGACATCCACGGTGTCCCTCATCTAACAGAGCACCTTACATAACCAAATCTATAGCTCTAATGGACCTCCTTTACACTGGTTATACAAATCAGGCCTCAAGAAGTGCAGGCTGGAGACCCAAACCAGCAGAAACGAACCACCTCCCCCCTTCATCTGGAAAGCATGGAGAGGCAAACTGTAAAGACTAATGACTATAAAGCCATAAAGTTCTGCTGCACTCAGTGTGAAGCTCCAATGCAGGCTCTGCCTCTATAGACAAGTACCCGAGTTATACTCACACTTATCCGCTCTTCTCTGTCATCAATGCGGACTTTATCTTTCTTCCAGTAGATTGTAGGCTCAGGGTGTCCACGAGGTGGTTGGCACTCCAATATGGCAGGTTCTCCAGCTGCCACCACAACATCTGTAGGGTTTTGGCGGAAGTCATCCCGTAGCACTAATGCAATAAATGAGGGAAAGAAGAAAAAAATTACTAGAAGTGATGCCATTGCAAGTGGGGAAAAAAAACACATGCAGGTACACATAATATTAAATAAACAAGCCTTAATCATTATTAGGTGATGACTTTGCACCCTGTATTTACTGTAAGAGATGTCATAAGTTTCTGAGGAATGACCTTTTGTCCAATGGAAGCAGATTTCACATACATGGGTTTTTTCCCCTTTTTTTTCTCCAGATAAGAACACTGATCTGCATTTAAATTAGAAAGACCTGCAACACCCGTGACTCTTTTTAACCTTGACAGGGTCACTTCCCATACTTGCAAAACTAGCATTGCAGGCCTGATGTTGAGTTCTTTTCATAGCAGAAACCAGCATGCTGAATATCTGGCTTGCTCGGATTTCCAACTCAGCATAAGCTGGGTGAAAAAGTGACACAACTAATGCTGAACTGTGGAGTTACACCTTGATGAAGGGTACTATTGTTATTACTGTTATGATTGCTATCACCAAACGCATGCCGAAGAGATCACCAGTTCTAAAAGCTGTCAAAGAAATCAAGCTGATGGTAGCATATTTAATTCTTCCTTTTGGGGTTTTTTTTTTTAGTTTCAGTATTTCTGCAACTTTGACCAGTGCTGCCCCAAGACATCGAAAGAAAAGAGCATTTAAATCACCAAGCTGTCTGAGAACTAAATTAGGCAACACAGCACAGATTCTTATGTAAATCAGGCTTCTATAAGAAGGATTAGGTCCAGCTAGCTGGCTTCAGTGTGTTAAAATAATATCCACTTCATCGTCATTCTTCAATGTGTGTCCTAGTCTCTAGGTTAATTGACATTCTTATAAACATAAAACTGAAAATAGCTCTAGATGAGCTACTGAAATAGAATTTAGGGCATTTCTCCTCCTTGAATTTCAGCTACGTATGGCTTTCATTACAGCTTTAAAACAGTTCTCGCCCTTAATGGAAAGGGGGCCCTCTGAGAAATTAAAAAACACTGTATCCTAGTGAAGGGGGCAAGTCAAGAAGAGTTCATCAGAAATTGCTCAGTCTCATTTCATAAGCAGAGATAATTTACTGCTTTCAATGTTAATAAAATGTGCCCCATTTTAACATTTGGAACTGAATATTTTTCTGTTCTGTAATAAGCCAGAATAAAATATGATTAATGCATACAAGAATTGGTTTCTGAATGGGCTGAGGTGAGAGGGCTGTATGTATGTAGCACTCAAAATGACATAGGAAGTAACTTTTATTGTTCCCCATTTTGGGATACACAGGTAGATCCCAAAGGAAGGAGGGAATTAATTGGAAGTTAATTCCTTTTCTAACACATACAAAAAAAGAAGATTGATTGCTCTTGAAAGATAAAATAAAAGTGACAGGACACAACTGGCAACAAATGCAGCTCTGGTAAGAGCCACTAGACTTCTTCAGCTATATACCCAAATGATGTATTTTTTCCAACAGATAACAAAAGATTCAAGCCCAAAATATTTCTGATTAATACAAATACTCATACACTTCGGTTTTGCAGTAATCAAATTGTTAGAAATTGAATTATAGAGCTTCAAGATGAAAGAAGTAACTTATGCAATCAACAACACTGAAACAGTATGCTGGAGATCATGGGCTGCTGACTATCTGGCATTATGCAAACCCAAGCAAGTTCATATCACAGGAATTTCAGGGAAAGAACCACAAAAAGAAGCATTACAAAATCACATATTTTAGGAAGCATCTTCATGCATCATTGTGATCACTATCAAACCCAGGAAGAAATAATCCTAGGCAATAATATGCCCTCTTTCATATAACTGGCCACTGTATAAGTATCAACTTCTTCCATTATTTTTACACACAAAAGAAATATCAATTTTTATTGGCTTCATTCTTTGTACAATTACAGAACTTCAGTGAAAATCCATTAGTGGAAAATTGTCACAAAATCAGCAGATCCCACAACATAATGACTTTATATACTCCTACCTCCTAACCCCTAGCAGCAACATTAAGGAAGGCGTTTTCCTTGAACATTTCACACTGCTTTATGAAGCTGACAAATACAGTTTCTTGGGGTGATACACAGCAAATTACATTAACTTTCTCTGAATCATCCCAGCAAACTGTGTAAGGTTCCAATCAGCCTCAGAATATGAGGCTAAGAGGTGATATGATTTTATCACATTCCTTTACCCAAGTCTTACTGCAAATCTGGCTTGAATGGAAGACAAAATTGATGCTACAGGGTTTACTTAATCTTGCTCTGTACCTCAGCACATATGTGAATCTTGAATAAATATATCTCATCATTTCCATCTAAAGCATTCTGCATTTCGGAGAAAAACAAAAACGGCTGGAGGAAAATGAAATAGGGGAAAAAATAAAGCAGGGACAGAAAGACAAAGATAAGAAAAAAATGTGTGGAATATAAATTTAAAGAGAGAAAACAACTTGGAGGGGAAGACGAGGAACACTTATTTTGGGAGAGCGAAAACAAAAAAGTAAAGGAAGGAAAAGAGTAAGAATAAAAGCAAAAAGAAAAACAAGGTAAAGAGCAGAGGGAATAGGCTGTCACTCCTGCAATTCAGTGCTTTTAATGGACTATAACAACACTGATAGAAAGCACAGATGTTAATCTGATCAGCACACCCATCCCAGCACATCCAAACACCACCCCAAGAAAGAAGGAGCAGGGAAGAGGAAGTGAGTGAACTGGTGACTTTGACTGTCCCACTCCAGTGGCACATAAAGCCACAGATGAAAGGAGCATCAACTGGAAGTTGAGTTCACACTTATTAGCACACAGTAAATGGAAAAGCTGCAGCACAGCTTAAGGCATTCACCATATCTAATGGCACAATCGTCTGTGAAAACAGACAAAACGGTTGAGAGCTGCAGAATATTCCTCAGCCAATTATCCACAATTGCTGAATACTTCCAAATAACTAGTAGTGTGCCTGAGCAGATCGCCCTCTCCACACACTGGCAAGAGGCTTTTGTTCACTTGAGAAGCCAGCCCTCCTCAGGGCCCTCTTGGCAGTGCACAAATATTAGCATTTTAAAAATCCAACACAAGTGACAGGGTCCATTTTCTGTCAGGCTCCTCTTCCTCATGCCATGTTCTTATTTTGCTTTATTCCAATTTTAACATAAGTTACACAGCTCCCTTTGTGCTCACATGAGTGTTATCCTCTATTTAACAAGGGACACCAAACGCCAAAGAGAATGATGGCTGGCATCCCACCCTGCCTGCCCAGGCTAGGACCCCAGTCTACTGAAAGGGCAGGACCCTGGAGGCTGCCATGCAGCCCTGACAGTGATGTAGAAGGGAGCTGCTCCCCACTTCCAGCCCCATGGCAGCTCAAACATCCTCACATTTCAATAGACAAAGCCTCAGAAGGGCAAAAGCTTCCGGATGGCTACACCTCGCTGCCTGGAAAGGACAGCTAAATTGTAAACACAGTCTCCAATGCTGCTGCAGACAAAAACTAATTAAAGTTTGATCAGTCTCTTTGTAGCTTGAATAAGCTGATGCTGCTCAAACAAGATAGATGTCTGCAAGCTGTCACGGCGGTCTTTAAGGGATGCGTAGTCCTGTGTGGCCATTTACAGGTACCTGTGAGTGCAATCACGGGAAGCAAGCGCATCTCTCAGCGGCAGTGCTGAGATAAACACTTGGTGGCCACATACCTGCCACAGACAGGGAGAAAGAGGGAAAAAGAAGTCCCTGCTACCAAGGCAACTGCTTGCCAGCACCTGCCAGTTTGACCAGGCCCTGGTCAAACCGATGCTCATAAACTGAGGGAATTACATGGAAACCGAATTAATTTCCTTGACGGAGGCTCCAGTTTAAAGGAAGCGGAGATAAAGCTACAACATTTATAGGGTAGGAGGGAAGGTGACGGGGTCAAAATTACTCTAGGCTAGATATCCATGCCTTAATCCTGCTTTCCAGTACAACAGCTTTTGGGTCCTTAGGAAGAAAACATTTTTATAGGATTTACATTTACATGATGATTACAAATAACCATCTGTCTGCTCCTACTTTTTCAATCTGGTCCATGTCCCACGAGCCCCCAGCCTATGGTCAGAGCAGCTAAGCTGGAAGGAAGAAGTGGATGCCCGTCAGGAGGCTTTGGGATAATTGCATTCTTCTCCCACCAGCACTCAGCTCTCCACCTCCTCCCCCCCAGCGCACAGGGCAAACATCTGAGATTACCGTGGATGAGAGGGAGGAAAAGACTATCTTTTTTGCCTTTTTCAATGAATGATAATGTCTTAAAACACCGCTACATCTGTTGTGCTGACTAGAGGGTATAAAGAAATATCGAGTAAATATTAATGTGCTTCTGAAACTTGGGTCCTGGTAGTTTTTCTTCCCCCTCCTCTTCTGTGTTGTGCTTATCTCAGGGTAATATTATTCTCATATAAAGTTTTTACAGTTGGTCACCTGCCACATGCAGGTAGATTTCCCCTGATTCAGGGCACTGCCCCACAATATCTTGCTAAATCTTCATCTCCTTACCACTGCCTTGGCACTCTTCTCCTCTGACATACTGATATGCATAATCAACATGAATTATTACGTCAAATAACTGCCCAGATGTCATGCAGTGGACAGATGAAAGGATTATTATTATACTTTAGGTAGCGTATGGTGCAGAAGGGTATTTGTATGTATGATCTACTGGAATGGTCCCAGAGCAAGCCAGCACTACCTGAGTGAGGCTGTCACCTGTGAAATGGTGGGACAGTAAAAAACACAAAGGGCCACAGACAAAACTTCCTTGTGAAGAATAATAATACACTTTCTTTGAGGATGCTGCTGGCCTACCTGTTTATTTCAGCAACTGCCTCTATCACATTTTGTATGGAAAATAAAATAATAACTAAAAAAGATCACAACTTAGGCAATAATCCTAGGCAAGACTCTCAGGGATCCTGAGCTCCCTCTGCATGTGCACTGCCTGCTACAAGCTACCATCTTTC